AAGCCATCTAGACATGACGTTTGCTTGTGGAGATGTGTTTATCTACAAGTTTAATTTCTTTAATAGCCATTGGACTATTCGTGTTATCTATTTCTTCTTGATTAGACCTTTGGTGATTTACGTCTTTCAAGTAATGTGCTCATTTTACAAACTGCCGCATTCCTTTTAACATATTTGTTCATAATATTCCTTTATTATCTTTTTAATATCTGCAGAATCTGTGGTGTCTTAGTTAATTTGTTTTCTTTTCTCCTCTTTTTCCTGACCAGTTTGGCTAGAGGCTTACTAATATTATTGATCTTACCAAAGAACTGCCTTTTGGTTCTGTTAATTTTCATTCTCATCTTTATTATTTCCTTCAGCATGCTCTAGTGTGCCCTCTTTTTCTATATTAAAAAATGATTTGAGGCCTTCTTTCTAATATATGTATTTAGTGCAATACATTTCTCCCTAAGTACCTTTTTTGCTATCCCAGATACTTTGATACATTGAGTTTTCATTTTCATTCAGTTTAACTTACGTTCTAATTTTTTTCTTTGACCCTTTTTTTTTTTGGAAGCATATTACTCAGTATCTAAATATTTGGGTATTTTCCAGATCTCTTTCTTTTGGGGAGGGGGGCTTGGCTTTTTTTGTTTTCTAAACTAGGCTCCACACCCCATGTGGGGCTTGAACTCACAAACTTGAGACCAAGGGTCGCCATCTCAATACTGACTGAGCCAGCCAGGCGCCTCTTCCAGATATCTTTCTGTTACTGATTTTCAATCTGATTCTATTCTGATTGGAATGTACTCTGTATGACTGGAATTCTTTGAAATTCACTGAGATTTCTTTTATAGCCCCAAATATGGTCTATCTGGGTAAATATTCTTTGTGTATTTTAAAAGAACACATAATCTGTTGGTGTTGGGTAGAGTAGTCTATAAATGTTGATTAGGTCAAATTAGTTGAAAAAATTAGCATTTTTCAAATCTTTCATATTTTCACTGATTTTCTATTTGTTCCGTAAATTACTGAGAGTACATTTCAATCTCCACCCATAATCATGAATTTCTTTATTCCTCCTTTCAGTTCCCCCAGTTTTTGCTTCATGTATCTTGAAGTTCTATTAGTAAGTGTATAAACATTTAGGATTGTTCTGTCTTCTTCAAATTAACTCCTTTATCATTATGAAATAGACGTCTTTATCCCTGGCCATAATCTTTGACATGTCTTTTCAGTTTTTTTTTCCCTGAGTATGTGTAGCATGGGGTGAACCTGGAATTTATGTCCATTAATACACAGATTGAGGGATTTCCCCTCCCCACTCTCCTTTCTGGGATTTCTCTTATGTTCTGTCTCCAGGGACTCCTTTGCCTCATCCCTTTGGCTAAAAGGGTGTGTTTTCTGAGTCTTACCTTCCTGTGGTCTCATGTAGCTCTCTACCACTGGGTCTGGTCTCTGGGTAAAGAGGCTAGAGAACATAGTTACAATGAGGCTTCTCTCCATACCCTTCCTCCTCTGCCTGGATAGGGGAGTCTTCTTGGGGGGGGGGAAGTGGGGGAGGTAGGAGGGGAAGGGCGAATAGGGGGAAATGGGGCCCCCTGTGCTGCTGTTGTCATCAGTCTGGCCACTGCATCCAGGCAAGGAGGTCAGCGATGGGCAGGACTGGGAGAGAAAAAGAATAAAAAAAGAAAAAAAGAAAGACAATCCTCCCTCCCCCTTCCCCACTGTCTGGTTCTTCCTTTCTTGGACCTCTGATTAAAAAGGCGGCTTTCCCTTGGAGGTTTTAGCGTTCATACTTGTCAAATTTTGTGACTCAGGTCACCCTCACATTAAATCCTGAGGAAATAAAGGAGAAAAAAAAAAAAACCCAGAAAAGTCACTACCATCATGGATTAGTCTTCAAGTTTTGCCTTTCCACCTCAAGGAGCCTGCTAGAATTTTCTTTTGTAATCAGTGGGGGAAATAGAATGCTGTTGGGTTACTTGTTCGTACAGCACCAGAAGTCTGCGAGCCTAATTTTTTCCTTGTTCCTTAGAGAAGCGACCCTGGAACTTTTCATCAGAGCCCTATGTCCTCTTTGTAGATTTTTGTAATACTAATGATTTCTATTTATTGGGTTTTCACCATGTCAGACACTGGATGAATACTCTAATGTACATGATCTCAATAAATCCTTGTCATAACCCTCTAAAAGAGAGATTAGAATTTCTCTTCAATAGATGAGGAAACAGAATCAAGCAGTTTGTTTTCCCTGTGTTTCCAACAGTTAGTCATTGGTAGAGCAGATTCCATTCTGACTGGTTCCCAAGCCTCTGCTCCTAATCATTCTGCAAGGTAGCATGGGATTCAGAAGAATGATTGGAACTGCGTTGAGGTGGACGTTGAATATTATTTTTCTTTAACTTGACTTGACATAGTAGTGGGAATGGATCCAGATTCCCTATGTTCTTAGTTTTTCAGATTTCTTTCTTCTCTCTGTCTGTCCACATTCTATTTGGGGGATGAGGTGCATGCATTCTTCCCCTTGCTTTTCCATGACACTCTGTCTGTACCATAAATCACTTTCTCCCACTCTTTAACTTCCTTTAAAAACCCTGTAAATTCTTTGAATTGCTAAAGCTTTTGGAAAACCAGAGCCAGAAAGACTTGCATGGAGCCTGTTTGATGTTTGGCCAGATACTTTCATTGAAGCAATGAGAGATGGGCTTGCTGAGAAAGGAGGAAAATACAGCAAGGATAGAAGTAAGTTAATATCTTCCCTTCTCTTCTCATCCCTTCCCTTTCCTTCTTCTGTCCCTCATTCCCCCCTCCTTCTTCCTCCCCTCCCCCCTCCCTCCTTCCTTCCTCCCTCCTCTCTCTTCCTCTCCCCTCCTCTCCTTCTCCCCCTTCCCCTCCCTCCTTCTCTGCATCCCTGAATCCTTCACTCTCATCCCTCCCTACCTTTCTTTTTTTCTTTCCACTCAATCAGCATTTTTGAGCACCTCCTACCTACCAGGTGTATACAACTTCCTTAGCTTTTATTCTCCTGCGTACTGGGCATATGCCCCTGCATAGTGACAACAGCAAGTTATTCATAGACTTAGAAATCGGGGGGGTTTCACAGGGTGGTGTACGGAAGTGCTGAATCACTATACTGTCCACCTGAAACTAATATAACACTGTATGTTAACTCATCGGAATTAAAATAAAAAGTGAAAAAAAAATGGGGTTGGTTTCTCTGATTTTGCATAACAGCTTCAGTTACTCAGCTGACAGACACATTTGCTTGCCCTGTGAGCTTCTACCTCTTTACTTTTGTATCCGCTATCCATCACTCACAGCAGACTGTCCTGAAACCTAGTCACTTCAGAAAACGCTTCCTGAGCCACAGCTCCTGCAGGGTGACATCCAGGTGGCCCATAGCTTCGGCCTGCACTCCGGACCCTCTCCCCCTCTGCAGCCACTGTGTTGGCCCTGGCAGTGGTCCGTCAAGGCTCTACTGGGACCAGACCTGCTTCCAAAGCCCAGCCACGTGGCTGTGGGCAACTCTGGGTTCCTCACAGGCTGTTGGCTGGAGGCTGCCTTCGGTTCCTTGCCCTTTGCACAGCTCATGGCCCCGGCAGCTGGCTTCATCAGGGTGAGCGAGCAAGACCCAGCAAGAGGCCGGAGCGATGGGAAACATGATATGTTAGAACCTCATCTTAGAAGTGCTGTTCTTTAGAGGCAAGCCGCCAGGTCCAGTGTGCCTTTGGGGGTGGAGATGATATAGCGGTGGGCATACCAGGAGGGGGACCCCTGGAACCATCCCTACCACAATGTACTGTCAGTGGGTGACAAGATGTCAAGAAAGTCTGAGGTCAACCTCCAGCTTCCTTGTCATTGGTGAAGGAAGGGCTGCCAGGGGACCTCGTGTGCCTTAGTTCATTTCGCCCTCACTGCTTTCCTGGGGGGCAGGTGTTGTGGCGGGCTCTGCTAGTGCTCCTCAATACTCCTTATTCCACTCTTCCATGGCAAAATGATTTTTTATGATTGCCCAGATGAGGACGGCAGTTCATGTCCTCCCTTGCGCCTCAGCGTGGCCACATGCTTCAGTTCTGCCCAGTGGGGTGTCAGCCACTGTGAAATGTGGTAACGTGCAGCTGGTCTCCTCAAGGGAAGGCTAGCTAGGGGGTCCTTCCATCTCTTCCTTTCCATCTTCCTCTACCTTTCTATTTGGAATGTATATGCCACCATCTTAGTCATGAGGTCGAGATCCCACCAGTAAGGAGGACAAGAAGAAAGACCGGTTCCTGACACCATGAAGCATTATACCAGCATCGTACTAGCTGTTGGGACTTCTGGGGTGAGGGATGGTAAATTGTTATCTGATGTAAACCACTGCCATTTTGGGTAGGGTCATTGGCAGCCTACCCCAATCCTAGGGAAGTCGGAACTTAGTACTTAGAAGTGGGGGCCACCTGTAACAGAGGCCAAAATAGGGGGTGTTGGCCTAGTGCAGGGTTGGTGGACTTGTTGTAAAGGGCCAAATGGTAAATATTTTCGGCTTTGTGGGCTGTCCATGGTCTTGTCACAGCTTTTTCCTTTATGTTTAAATGCCTTTTAAAATGTAAAAAATGTCTTGGCTCAGTCCTTTGAAAAGCTCACAACCATTCTTAGCTCAAGGACCAACAAAGCACAGGCAGCTGGTTCTGGCCTTTGAGGGATGGTTTCTGACCTCTGGTCTTGTCCATTAGGGATGAGCAAATGTTGGCCTCAGTGCCCACTGACCTTTCTGGAGGCACGCTTTCTCATTATGTGTAGTCTGTGGGTATTTCTCTTGTTTTCTTTATTGATTGGAAAATAATGCACCTAATTATTAAACGTCACATTTACTCTCAGAAGATGCACCAGAGGGAACTTTCATAAAAGATGCAAATGTAAAGAAATCAAAAGGATACCTGCAATTATAGTCATTAATATTGAGGTATTTACCAAAAAAAGAGAGTAAAACTGTGGCATTCGGGAGAGGAAAAAAAGAAATCAGCAACTCATGTTGGTACTTTTTAAAACTTTATAATGTTACTTGAAAATTAAATTGAAACCATGTTGTCATTTTGAAATTACACTAGTCATCACAATACTGCATTACTTCTCATTTTACGTGATTTATGATCCTGTGGTACCATTATATTTATCTCTTCCAAACTCATGATCATTTTCCCAATGAACGGATGTTGTAATTTTACTCGGTATATTTAGATAGATCACAGTTCTATAAAATACTGTACTCAAAGTACAAAAATAAGTGCCTTATGCACATTCTTTAATACTGTTTTTAATCTCTCTCTCTTTTTTGGTACCTCAGCTAACTAACTTCACATAAATAAAGTCATTAATAACAACAAGGAGAAGAAGCAAGAGATGGTTTAACACCTGGAAACCAGAAATGCAGTTTGCTGACAGCATTTTTTTCGTTGATAGGGGATAATGATGTCTGGCTCTGTTGCAGTCAGAAAAGTAGGAAAAAAAAAAAAAGAACTCATGAAGGAATAGAAACAAAAATACCAATAATTATATGAAACATTTAAACCAGTGACAATGATGGATTGATTTTAAATACACTTATCTGTGGCTCTTCTCCTCAGATCCCCTAAATCTCTTAGGAATTACAGTAGAATGTACCAAATTTCAAAATAAAATGTACATTTGAAAAAAACATGTATACCTCATTGCAAGTTATTTATTGCAAAACATATAGGTATAGATAATGCTTGTTAAAAAGATTTTCGAATTTTATAAACATGGGTATATTTAGAAAACAAATAGTTAATAACCAAAATGTTTTCAAGTGAGTAACAAAGCATACCTGCTCTTTAATGTCATAAATCTGTATGTGAACTTGTCAATTCCACCTTTTAAAGCATATTTTAAAGCTTCTGGACCTCTAATGAAAATTGTTTCTTCTTTTTTATTTTTCTCACTGTCTTTTATATTTCTTCTGGGGAACATATTTGAAAACTCATCTTACTTGAATAGCAATAATTATAGGTGAAGAGTTGTATGAATCTTTAAAAAGGCTTACTGTGCCCGCCTAGTATTTGGCAATAATAGTTGAAACTTAAAATTTAGAACAGAATTGGTTTAACTGTGGGGATTCCGACTCAGTGAAACAAACTACCAACTGGTACTGGTGAACTTAAGTGTAATTATATTCAGTTTATAAAAATGCAGAATGGATCACTAGATCGTGAACTCCACTGTGGAATTACACACTCACATACAGACACACACACACAAATGTTCATAGTTTCTGGCATAAGAGAAGGTGCATAGTAAATACAGATTGATCATACATTCTATGAAGGAGAGGCTTGTGGGTTTAGAGCAGTAGAGATTATAATTTATTTTCTTCACTAAGATTAAGAATTAATGAAAGAGTAAAAAAGAAGTTCTATAAAAAAGGAAACTGTCAATATTATTTTCCATTAAGAACTATTTAAACTTTATATGAGATTATATGAGGATTTTTGGTAAAGAATAGTTCATGAGCAACCATAACAGCGAAGTGAGATGCAGGTGTTTAAGCAAACCTGTAAAACATGGATGGGAAAAAGGCAATGGGTCCTGTAAGATGAAGGTTTACATTGGAAGTCCTTTCTGGTTTGCCATGTGAGGGGCTTCGTTTAAGAAAGAAAGGAACCAGCAAATCCTCTGAGACCCTACTAATGCCCTTTCATCCTGTCCCCTGTCCAGTCTGGTCCAGGGGTTGCACGCTCGGGACGCTGTCCAGGGGCTGTGAAGGACAATGGGACCAGAAAGGGGTTGGGTGTGGGGCACTGGATGGAGAGTGGCTTGAAGGTAACCACGCAGGAGAAGATGACAAGTTCCTCTCTGTTCACGAGGCTCCCATCCCAGTCAGAAAGATGGTGTTGGGCCCTTTTGTTTAAGATGTACCTTCTCTGGAGAGGATAAAGCAAATTCTACAAGATTTTAAAAAAAGAAAAGGAGACATAAAGATGGGGTCACACTGTATGTTGTCTGAATTGGGACACAGTTGTGAGTACGAAGAGCTATTGTTAACATGGTTACGGTGGGACCACAGACATAAGCCAGGGCTGTCCCAGCAAGCCAGGACCTACCGTCACCCCAGAGACGTTGCTAAACACTGGGTGGGGTTAACATTCTTCAGGTTCCAAGAATTTCCTGCTGGCAGCTTACTCTCTTTAAAGCACTGTTTCTTGGCATCTCCCCTCCCCTTAGACAAAGGAACATAGGTGAAGAGAAAACAAGGCATATTCAGTAGGAGAAAAGTGAGGGAGGGAGATGCGGAAGTGTTCTAGATTTCATTCCAGGCACGTTTGAATGAATGGAAGCTTCTTGTTTCCAGAAAAATAAGTGAATTATTTTTCACTTCTATATTGGTTACTAATTTCTCTTCACTATTAGCTGAAGTTTAACGTTTTATTTTAACTTTTCTACAAAACTGAGGTGACCTGGAGATGCAAAAAGTTGGCATTCTCCCATAAATGAACCTATGTGTTCAAGGTATGCACTGCTGTCCCTATTAAACTCACACATTTTACTTTCTGTATAAACACTGTAAGAAAAAGATGGCTTTTAAAATGGACATTTTGGGAACAATAGAATATTCTGTATCCATGTTTTTATTGACTGAAATTTTTAAAAAATGTTTTACTCCATAAGTAAAGTGATAGGGCATGGGGGTCAAAAAATCTCATTTTTCTAATGGTTTTACTCATTATAGCAGGGCTTGCTTTACTTTGTTCTAACGTTGGCAAATATAAATATATATATCCTGGTGGACACATTACATTTTCTTTGGCTATGTTCTTGAAAAGCTTGAAGCATTTTCAAGACATCACTAGAATGAAGTAAAATCTCAGCATCAAATTTGATGATCAGGTCAATTAAACACGTAACTATTACACATCAGGTAGGAATATTGGTTGCCTAGTTTCTCTGTCTTCTAATAAGTACATTAAAATTCCTAAATTATGCTACTAATATTTTCTTTTAAAAGTATTTATCACAAAGTTCACTTAAGGTGTCACATTTGAAAACTAGTTTCATCTTGGACAGATGTATCTACAATAGGTAAAAATGTATCCACAAGATATAAAAAGTACCAAGTCTCCAGGTTAAGTTGTAGGTACATTTCATCTCCCGGGATTTTCTGTATGAATGCAAGGAGGGGATAAGTGATCATAGCCTCATGTGAATCCTGGAACACTTTGTTCACTTTTAATTGTAAGTTACTTTTGGGAAATCTTAGATAGACCCGGAGTCGCAGCAGTAATACATTTTATCCAACTTTGTAGCTTTGTAAAGACAATCTACTCAAAATACTAACTTTTTTTACTAACCCACATTCTTGAAAAGGCACCCTGGAGAATCCCCCAGTGCCCCATGGATTCAAATTGTGACCCAGTTGTCCAAGGCAGAACTATAACAGTCATTGAAAAATATAGTGAAAATGAGCATCAATTGAAAATTATATTGAGACAGTATTTATGAAAAGCTAATCTATGTGATTTGAGGAATGTGTGTGTGTTTTTTTAAATTTTAAGTAAAACTAAAACTAATTTCCTGAGTAACTATTATCAACTCATAGTTACTGTGATTTCCATCCACCATTAAAAAGTTAAGGAACTATGGTTTGTTAGATATGTTTTGAAGTCAGTATTTTCTTAACACGAGGTAGCTTTCTAGCAGCATTTTGGGTGTTTTTATCCAAACACAGTGTGGTTTGGCCTGATACCAGGATTGGGCAGAAGTAGGAGAAGAAACCTAGCTATGTAGGAGAATGGTTATCTTGTTGCAGTTAAAGATGGTCTTCTAGCTACAGTAATGGGGTGAGAATAGGCAGCATTTTTACAAGTAAGAAAATAGATGTCCAATCTCACTGCTGCTCCATTTCCTCCTAAGTAACAGTGGTTGATTTTAATTTTCACTAAGCTATTAATTACCAAAATTTAGAAACTCAGTTCTTACTTACTAGATGCTTCTAAATTATTTGTTTGGGTATTCTGTTATCACTTGGTTGGTTGGCTCATTTTATTTTTTTTATTTTTGGTTGGTTGACTCATTTTATTTTATTTTTTATTTTTGGTTGGTTGACTCATCTTAATTTCCTCTTTATATAAAGAGTTTTTTTCTAGGAAACAATGAAGTAAGAAATAACAAAAAAATAGATACTGATGCACAAGATATAATAGGTATTAAATAGGTGCTAATTTCCGAAGTCTAAAAATACAAACATCATGCAAAATAAACCTTTGGTTCTACACATACTTTTTTAAAATCCCAGTTTTTAAAGTTTCAAACTCATTATAGCTGTATCATGAGTTTATAGGGCTGTGTAGTTGCCCTACAGTACTTAATTTGGGCAAAGTAAATACAGATGGCACAGTAGACACATTGATACTTTCTATGAATATGTTCTAATGGAATTCAAAGTATTCTCTAGATTTTACTAGAGTGAAGTAAAACTTCAGTAAAAAGTCAAACCACATCTACTCACTTGAATAAAATCAGTCCTTAGGAAGTAAATGTACAAATGCTTGTGTTTCCTTAGGCAAGTAATGAGATGGTGCTCCAGGGGCAATTTTCTTGATACTGTGATGTTTTTGTATATTTAGGTTTCTGTTCTTAGCCTTTAAAAAAAATCATAATGATTTAATCTGGAATAAAGATTTTTCTCATAACAGATTCCTATATTAACTGTTCATTCTGATTACATTTAAAACTCTTCTGGATCAGACCTTCTATTTGGCATTGGCTAGACATCCAGAGCACTGTTTTCTATTTTCAAAGATTTTAAAGAACATGAAAACTTTGCTCTTGGAATTTGGAATGCTTTTTTGGACTAAGTAGGAACTTGCCTGCCCCAATGTCATTACTCTTTTTGAGTATAAAAACAGGTCTGTAGGGGAATGTCGATTTGGACCTAAGAATTGCTGATGGAGGCATTTTTCACTTTCTCATTTTTAAAATTAGTTTGGTCCAAGAGTTAGTTTGAAGCCAATATGAATTATATTTAAATTCATACTTTTTATGAGCTGAATATTTATAAAAATATTATTTGGCTATCTGTTTTAACTTAGACAAATTTTTTCTTGCATTTTTCTACTTAATGAAAGTGAAATAAATAAGGAAAACATTAGGGGGTAGGGTTGAAATAGAAAGACTATAGCCATTCCCAAAGTTAGCTGCACACTGAAATCACCTAAGATCTTTAAATGCTGAGGCCAGGCTTCTCCCCATGATATTCTAATGTAAATGGGTATCTGGCACCATCTTGGCATTGGCGGTCTGAAAAGCACTTCAGGTATTCCTAAAGTGCAGCAAGTTTGGGAACCACTAGCCTAGGGCATATGAGGAACAACAAGTAAAGCCAAAAGCACCCAGACTTTCAGAGTGTGACCTGTAGCCTTGAGGCCTTTGATGTCTGATTGGAGTTAACAGAACTGAAAGGTTATAAGGACTTTTAATTGTTACTGGAATTTAGCTGATTTTGACTGGAATCTGGGCTGATGTTGGATCACAGGATTCCAATCAAGAGTTGACAAATTTTTCTGTCTTTGTATTTATGTTTTCCTTTGAGTCCTGTAGAATTGTGCCAGAGATTTTTTTTAGCTGGAAATTCTGGTGCTGTATGTCTTAAACCACTAATGAGACAGAAGCAGTGGTGATTGGTATTTGAAGTTCAGACCTCAATTATTTCTGTTTTGAACAAAAAGCTGTCATTTAGAAGTATGGCAAGAAAGTAGTGCCTTGTGCTCCCTCCATCCCAGGTTTTGTAGCTCCTACATCCTCATGAGATGTTCCTGGAGAGAGGCCTAAAGCCCTAGGGAACTTTGGTCACTAACAACCCTTGCTGGGTGTCTAAGAATCCGCTTCTAATCAGCAGTTGGGGGGTGTAAGGTTTTCTGTGACCACTTCAAGACCAAAGGGCTTGATACGGTAAAACCGTCTGATATTTGTTGAAAGTAGAAGGAAGGCAAGGTAGAAGATTTCTTGGCAGCTTGACTGTAAGTGGGTTAGACAGTCCAAGGCAGACCCCACATTAATAGAACTGTCTCTGAATGCCAGATGGTGGTCTGGGTGCTGTAAAAACACCCAAGAAACGAGAGTAGACCTTCACTTCTCTGTTTGAAATGACTTTTCAGCCCGTTTGCTGAATAGGAGAAAGCATCCTATGTGATATTCTATAGATTGGATGTACTTTTTTATGGTATTTGACATGAGGAAAATGAGACTGATACGAAAATAAATCCAGGTGGACAAGTCAAAACGTTTAAAATGAGAAGAAGCCATTTTAAATTGGGGTGATTATTGTGTTGGGGGACCCTTGGGAAGGATGGGGGCTCCAGGGAAGAAGAGGTGCAGGCTGATGAGTTTAATAAACAGTGGGCCTGGATTCATTTTATCCTTATCCGCAACACAACCCATTGATTTCCAGGCGGTCCCCGAGGGCTATAGGGGGCAGGGAAATGGTGACCTAGGACAGATTGATTGGGTAGAATTTTCAGACAGAAGCGATGTTGGCCCCATCAAACCTTGGGCTGTCTTTCACAGGCTCGGGCCTCAGAACATACTCCATGTGGTGGGCAACAGGGAAAACATTTCTATAAAAGCATCCCCGCACCCTCCCACTGCCTGTTTGCAATGTTGTGTATCACAAAGGCAGCTGTGAGCTGCGGTTAAGACTGGAGTTTACTTGCCTCCCTTTGTTGCCCCTAATTGGCCAGGGCTGCTCAGCCCCTGAACACTTGCTGGTTAAGAGATCTCTCTCCACATCATCAGGGTGCGTAATGCATGCCCAAGTCACTCAGGAACCTGGGAGAACCAGCTTTTGGGGGCAATGGCTCTTAAGTTTTCTGGCAGACAAAAGGCTTCTTGACATTTGATTTCACTGGGAATTCATCCTCGTATCCTGATTCTACCATTAATATAAGCTGTGCAGTCTCAAGAAAGGCATCTCTTTAGGAAAAGTAGGACTTGTGATCGTAAGGAAACTGAATGAGAGGTTTATCTCTTCTAGAGAGAGTTTCATGTGTCTTAACTTAAAAGAAAGATATCTTCAGAAGGCTCCATATCCATCCCCTCGGGCAGTCACTGCAAAAGTGGGGTAGACCTCATACGTTGTATATGCTGCTAAATCCTGTCCGAGGGTCACCGCTTGTTTGAGCTGGGCTGTGGACATGGGTGCCGTTGCACTGGGGACGGCATATCCTGGAGGAGAGGCAGAGAAAACTTCATCAAAAGCCATTCACATTCGCTCCCTCTTGCTTTATTGTCTTCTCTTAGGAAGATGAAAAGTTAGCCTCGCTTAAAGCCAAAAGTTAATATGCACATTAAAAAAAAATGAACTCAGGGGACCTAATATCTAGACTCATTGATTAGGGCACAGCGTGCCTCAAAGTGAGGTCAGCCGCATGTGCCAGAATGACTTCATGCGTGGAAAACTGGAAACACTGGGGAGAGAGTCCAAGAAATGGAAACTTAACAGGATGCCGAGGTAATTAAAGTTTGACATTTAGAACTTTTTCAGAGGCTCTCAGAGCTTATAAGGGAGGGGAGGTGACTGATGGGTTGGCAGGGCTGAGGGGTGGGGCTCTGCAGGTCTGCTTCTGTACCCATGCCCCCCACCTAAATGAAATGTTAAAAACCATTGCTTTTACCGAAGACATATAGGGAGTAGGTAGACCAGTAGGAAAAATTTGGAAAGTTTTATTACGTTTCTACATAGTGCCATAAAAGCAAATACCTGGCCTGTTTACATTTAGACCTAACCGTGAAGGGCAAAGACCTCTTGCTTCACCACCAAGCTGTCCGGTGTATTCGGATGATGCTCGTCCTCACCTTCAGACAGCCCAGGGCTTTGCATGGTAAGGAGACCATCATGTGCGGTCACATTAGTATCATGTCTGGCTGATTGACATTCACTTTTAGAGAAAAGGGCATAACCGCTATCATACAAAAGCAATGTTTCCCTGTTAATGTTTTAGATCAAAATTAAGCTATTTCTGAGATGATCCAAAAAAATGTGAAGATGACAAGAAAAAGGGGAAAATTTTACTTAAGCAACAAACAGGGACCTGATTTAAAAAACAACAACAACAAAACAGTCCATTTGGTTTATGTGCTGTGGCAGTCATCCCAAACCCAGACACACTGATTTCTTTCTGGTGGCTTCTCAGGAAGTGGACACAGGAAGCTGGCTGGACTGTTTTTTTAAAAATTAAATCCACTCCTTGGCTTGGGCACTTTGGCCAGTAATGCTGACTAATGCACTACTGAAGTTTGGTATGTTTTCCAAGGATGTGAGAAATGTGTTACCAATTATGATTTTGGAAATAGTATTTCTAAATAAGTGAGTAAGAAATACACATGTGTGAGAGTGTGTGCATATGTGCATGTGTAATATAGATTTTATCCTTGGGGATTTTGAATTTTCTTTTTCAATTTGGCTACTTTTTTTTTTTAATTTTATTATGTTAATCACCATACACTACATCATTAGTTTTTGATGTAGTGTTCCATGATTCATTGTTTGCATATAACACCCAGTGCTCCATACAGAACGTGCCCTCTTTAATACCTATCACCAGGCTAACCCATCCTCCTACCCCCCTCCCCTCTAGAACCCTCAGTTTGTTTCTGAGAGTCCATGGTCCCTCATGGTTTGTCTCCCCCTCCGATTTTTCCCCCTTCATTCTTCCCCTCCTGCTATCTTCTTCTTCTTCTCTCTCTCTTTTTTTTTTTTTAACAGTGTATTATTTGTTTCAGAGGTACTTTCTTAAGTGCAAAAGTATTTGGATTTTAAACAGATTCTTCCCTTGGAGCCTATTATCCTTTGCTTGACTCCACAGCAAAGTTATAAGAGAGGCTCTCAAACTCTTAGGCATTCCCAAGACAACTCCCATGCCCTAAATATTTTTTACTTCTTGCAGGAGCAAACAGAAGGGAGGAAAATGTCAAACATTCTGAGGTGAAACCGAATCCTTTCCAATGTGCAAGCAAACTGTAACATTCTAACAGGGGCTCATTTATTTTTATAGTACATTAGTTAGCTGTCTTTGGGGTGCAGCTTTCCGTGAGACAGGGGCTCACCTTTCTCCAAGAACTGAGAAACCCAGGCACAGGTCCCCAGTAGACAGACATTTCAACACCCCATTCTGTGGAAAGCGAGCCCAGGGTTGGTGGCCCCAGCGCAGCCCAGGGGAGCTGCCCTCTGGTGGCGGCAGCTGGGGCCGTGGTAACCTCGCAGGGGCGCACGACCCATCCTCCCCAAGTTCTACAGAACAAAGCTGGAATTGAGGTCGTGTTCGTGTGTGAAGCGTGGTTAGCTGCCAGGATGGAAAACATATTTGCCGTTTTTGGGAAACAAAAGAAAACGAGAGTGAGCCCAGGTGTTATGGATGGGAGGAATACAGCAGTTCTCACGCCTGAACGTGACCAGTGCATGACTGAATGGATTGATAGAAACACCTTGTGTCTGGGTCCAGTCAGATCTCTGGACTGGTCTTAAGGGAGGTATGTTGACACAATGACACGTTGGAGTGACCAGTGTCTTCAAAAGAAATGAACTTTGCTTGCTAAAAAAGAATGGGGTTATTCAGAATAACTGTTAAGGAAAGATTTCCAAAACAAATTTCTTGCCTGGTCACTTTTAATCTCTAGAGGGTTCATTTTTTTAAATTATTAGCTTTTTTTGTAGGTACATAACAAATGGGGAGAAGTCTTTTAAATGGGACTGTGAAGGCGATCTGCAGATAGGCTTTATTCTGAGCAAACCATGTATGCTCCAGTCCCAAATTATAGAACACATAAATGAGAGCTGATTATCTTAAATATTGAACGGTTCCCCCCCCCCTCTCTGTCTCTCTCACACACAGAGTTTTTGATTTAAAGCAACTTAAGAAAAATGTGACCTACACATTTCTTTCAGAAAGCAAAGCAATAAAAGTCAAGTTGAGTCGAAGATTGGGGTTGTGCAGGGATTCCTTAAAAGCCATTGACCTTGGCCAAATTCCTTAATCATTCCTGTCCTTGGTTCCTTCAACTGGAGCCTTATGCTACAACCTACCTCTTGTGGCATCATGAACATTGCTGGCATAATATAAAGCACACTGAGCATTTAGGGGAACACCTGGCATGCAGATAAACAACTATTAATAGGTAGTTCCAAACTTTCTTAACTAAAAAGTAAAAACCCCACCCAACCTGACGCAGAGACTGGCTCTTTCAAGGTCATGCAGCTGCTGAAGCCAAGCTGAGACTAGACCCCACTTCCGCTCCTCAGGGAACCTTGATGGTTCACGCATCTGCCCAGTGTTTTTGGTCACAGATGGTGTAAATTGGATTTATTGTGGGTGGAGTTTAAGAACACTCACAGAGTTCATGGTACCAAGGGGGTGTTTCTCAAACACCCGGGGCAGGTGCCATTTTCCCTACCTGGGAAGGCAGTGGCGGCAGTTGCCGTGGTGGGAGCATCGGCCCCGTCGGTGGGAATGCCCAGCGTCTGCAGGGTGTACTCGGCCGCGTAGGTCTTTGCTTCATCCACGTAGGCACTTAGCTTCGGAGGCGTGAAGGGGTGGCTGCAAGGCATATTCAGTCATTACATTTGAGGAGCCGAGATGGGAGAAAACCCAAGTCGCTGTTCATGGGCTAAGATGAGCAGATGATGGAATTTTATGTGTGTGGTCTTCGTTCTCTTTGCATTGAAGACTTCTACAGGTATATGCACGTAGGGATGTTTGTGACCTGGCCCAGGACAGCGGTGGTTGATAGGACATGCCTGGAGCACACCTGTAACTCATCACACAGCTTTTCTAAGGTACAGGTGAGACAGGATGGTTCCTAAAATATGTAGAAATGCAGGCTTGAGGTGGTGATACCTACCAACAGAGAGGATCTTTGATCCAAAATATAACTAACTGGGCATGGTGTTGTCACGTACAAAATGGCAATTTCATATGGTTCAAACTAAATACTACATAGATAAAATAATGGGCTATAGATCTGATTCCTGTTCCATTTTATGTCTGTAGTTTTTTATTGGTTGATTATATTACACCATCTTCATTGTCTGTGTGAAATTCAGGGCCTCTGAGATGCCAGTCTCCCACTTGGCATGTACATCCCAACTACACATCTCAACGTTTGCGTTTAATGAAAAATGAGCAAGTAGTAGATGTGTTTCTCTTATTTGGATAGTGATAAAATATTGATTTTACAAGAGACTTGATTTACAAGAGACTCTTATTCTAAAAAGCTTAAAAGATTAGGAATTTGGAGATGTTACCCACATTGCAGGATTCTGGCTGGCCAGGGCAGGAATGGTTATTTTGTATAAGAATAGTTGTCTTTGATCTTGTCCAATGGCTGAGTGCAGCTGATACACTGGTTGTCCCCAGTTGTTTTTCTGACAAATTTCTTCTAGTATCTACAGGAGTAAAAAAAAAAAAAAAATAAGTGATTTCTGTTTCAAATGTCACATTTGCATTATTTCTCCAGCTTTCAGGATTTAAAACTCTAATCTTTAGTGCTTAAGCTAATGTAAGAAAATATAAAATGCCATATGGTTTAATGACTCATAAAATTTAAGATGAACTCAACTTGAACTCCATTTAAAATGTTATATCGACTAATTCATAAAAATCATTTTCACACCATTTATTCTAATATGTTTTTAGTTTAGTCCATTAGCTGTAACTTTTTTACCAATAGTTTAATTTTATGATTTGTTTGATATATTTATTCCATTAAAAAAATGGACATTTCAGCACTGTGTGGCTGGACTCCCTCATGACTACCGTCAATCCTTCTGTTTATAATGGTTTAGAGAAAATAACCTAAGAATATATTCTTAACTTCATGTCGTTTGTCATAGGGTTTTAACTTCACATTTTCATAAAAAATCGAGTTAAACAGTTTAATGGTTACTAGTCACTGATGAGCATTAATAGATGGATGTTGACAGCTGTAGTGTCTTTGTTTGGCAAAATACCACTTCTGGCTGTTTTTACAAAGATCTGAGTTTCAGAATCTCCCTGCATGCTTTTTTCTGCCTTTATCGCTACTCCAAACTGAATCTTGTCTAAAGACACCCAATTTTTTTTTCATCCCAAAGCCATTTTCAGTGGCCCACCTGCCCCAATGCTCCCATGAGTCAGCAGATTCAGGAAACTGTGCAAAACAAGGTCTAAGTCTGAAAAGAACAAGACTTGGGGACAGAACAGTGCCCTGGGCTGACACCATGGAGCTTCTTATCTCATTGGTTCTGACACGAGTCCAGCTGCAATTGCAGGGCCTTTTCTGGTTTATTAAATCTGTGGATTGCTCCTATTTCCTCTACTGACTTTTCTTGTTACTGCTCTTGGCTGTGTAGCATCTCTCGTCGTCTACAAAGCATTCCCAAAGGTTCCTGGGCACCAGTAGACTCCTATAGCTGGCAGACATTCTCGTTGTGCAAACACAAGCTCCAAGAGTACGGACTCTAACTCCAGACTCTGCTGGGCACGCCTTGTTTCCCTGCTCTTGTCGGATGCCCACGACCCCACCATGGGGCTGTTAAGGCTCCATCTACATTGGTTTGGGTTGGCATAGCCTTCAATTTCTAAGCCGACCTTGTAGAGATTCAGAGACTAAATAAAGAACTTTCATTAGTTTGGAGAGGTAGTTCCTTACATATCTCTATAAACCACGACCAATTTCTAACCTGGGTTTAATGTTAAGAAGCAGAGATTATTCATCACACTGTGGCAGCTCTTAGAACTATTATATGGAGTTTATAATGATTATTATTTTTTATTTTCTTTAAAGATTTCTAAGTATTCCAGGTCCTTAATGAGGTTCCTTATTTTAACCCAAGATCGACTGGATGACAAGCTTTTGTGTTTTCTGAGCAAAGCTTTACGATGACACTTAGTAGAATTTGCAATAATGGCCTGTTGATGTGTCCGTATCCTCTCACTGGATTGCCATATGATTTTTGATGGCAAGGACTGCATTATATTCCCTTTTCCATGCCCAGCACCTGACACAGTACTTGGTGTATGGTGGATGCCCAATAAATGGCTTTTGAACAAACAAATGAATGCTGTGTACCACTCTGCTAGGCATCCTTATTTTTAATTGCCTGGGTAGGGTTAGCAGAAACCTGAGATGAGCTAATTGGTATGTATAAGACAGCCATTGATCCTACAAAAATAATACTCACGATGAGCTTTTAGAAATCATAAGGCTACTTCCATACATTTGGGGCTTATACCTTTGGACCTGGAGTAGGGATGTTTCCTTGAGGGTCCACAAACTATATCTCTGAACAACTAGGTATGGCTTCTTCAGCCAGTGTCTCTACAGAAAGCCTGGCATGCACTGCGCACCCACAGGGAATAGGCTCAGGGTTCACATAGATCCTGTTTTGTTTTATTTTTACCCCTGTTATTCACTTTCCATCCTGGAACAGCTTTTATAACTTCTGATTTTCCGAAAATAAAAACCACAGCCTCATGCAGAAATATGGAAACTTGGAGCTGTGGAATGAAAGCATTAAAATTTCACCATCATGCCCTTCCCCAAGCATAATCAACGTGGGAGACCTAATTGGATATGATAGATGGCATCTTATCATTAATACAAGTCCATGATATCACCATGGATGGTATGGTGTTTTCTCTCACACCCAGTGTTTCCAATAAAAGATGTCCTAAGTGGCCTATTCATTCCCTGTCTTGAATACTCTCCATTAGCCAGCTCCTACACAGTAGGCGTTTATTTTGAGTCTTTGCTTCATTTTATTTTCATGTAAGGTATCGGTTGATAATTCTTAATGGCTTTCAGGATCTTTGCATTCCAGTTCAGATTATTTAGGAAATATAAGAAAGCCTGTGATGGAACAGTGGCCCTCAGCAGTTAGCATTCTCTCTCAGTACCTTATGTTGATTGGCCACTTTACCTATTTAACAAAACAAAACAATAGCCCAAGTAGGGATCAAGTCAAGTCATTTGATGAAAGGCAAATGTTGATGGTCTTTGGCCTAACTTAAGGAAACTATCTCTGGAATAACATTACCTACCTGGGGAGCAAGTTTAATTCCTTGGGGTTTTAAAGTGACAGGATTCATTGGGGTGAGCTCCATCCCAGGTAAAAGGTCATAGAGTTTGTCTTCTCTCTTGTCTCCCTTGACCTGGTATCCACGACCCAGGCCTGTATAGGCCAAATAGCCACGGCCGGCCAGTCCTCTCACTCCCGCGGCCCCTACAGGTACATTCATGTAAATTTCTAGGAACGTAAGAAGGCATTAAACTGAATCAAACCACCAGAAGATCACCCTGAATCTTACTGTAATGGAAAAGTTAGCCCAAGTCACATTGATCATTGCCCTCAAGATGCATAGAAAACTCTAGGATTCTAATGTAATGAAACTCAATATAACCGTAGGGTTTACCGTAAGTGTCTTGTTTATTTTTTTGTCCTTTTTTTTTTTTTTTTTACTATCTGTGAAAGAAAGCCATACTCTCAAAGCTATTGATAAGTACATGAGCAACTTTAAAACTTCGACACAGAGAAAAAATTTGCAATTTCTATCTTCAGTTGACCTTTTGTTGACATTTCTCTATAGACTAATAAATGTTGGGAAGGTATTTAAACATCCCAGCATGGTATGACCACATGTATTAAAATAAGTCTTGCATTCTTATCATTGATCAGTAAATCAGAAATGGATTTTAGCTTCCCCAATAATCCCATCCCCAAGGATCAGTTGGGAAACGTTTGAACATTTAGAAAACATGTTTATAAGTTCACTATTTTCTGTTTTATAATCAGACAATGTTAGGCTTAAATTTCCATTGAGTTTCATTAGTAGATTCCTGTTGATTTTTTGTTTTGCCATGTTGATACTTTGATTTCCTATTGGTGATGTAAAGTGATAAAAAAATTAAATTGATTACCCTTCATCCATGAATATCATTCATTGATTCCTTTCTTGCTATAAGGTATTTTTTCCCTTGGAGTGGAGCTTGTTTTTTTTTCCTACATTACAACTGGTTGACAATTTATATTTAATGTATAAATTATTTAATAATATGATTTCAGATTATAAATGCACAATACTTTAATGACATAATTTGTCATAGATTATCCTGGAGGAAAACCTGATGATTTCTTTTGCATTATAATCTTGGGTAGAGTGATTTTATTACGATTATGGAAATTTTAAGGCTGTTGAAGACTAGAACTTCTAGGATGGTCAATTCAGTTTTCCTGAAAAATAGTAAAACGCAGTAAGATAATTGTTTTCACAGTAACCTGGTCATGTCCCTTTGCTTCTAAGTAAAACCCAGGGACAGAGTTAAATACAGTTGGTTGCCAAATTGCCCAGAATGGTGTCATATTTGGAAAATAGAACTGGGATTCTTTTGGCATTAATTCTATCCTAGCAGTACTATTTTGAAGGATTCCATTAGGCAGAGACAAACTAGTTTAATAGAAGTTAAAAAACGCTTTCCTTATTGTCTGTGTTGCTTGAACTGAGCCCAGAGAACTGTGTGAACATTTGGAATTCTTGTAGGATTACATAGGAAAGATTTATTGTATGGTAGTCAGTCTTTCTTCTATTTGGACTTTACTATTTAGTTCTCCATATCCTGGAGAAATAAGTTGATTTCCTCAATAGTGGGGCTTCTTAGAAGACACAGCACATATTTCTAGGGGGAGGTCAGATGAAAGTATCTCATATATCTGTTAGAATATGTATGATAATTTGTGATTTATGTATGAATATGATGCCACTGAGTTACCATTAAATACATATGTGCCTTGACTTGTTTTTTGCCATTTGAGATAACTGGTTTCCATTGGACCATCCTGCTTTCACTTGGGTTTTCTTTCATTCTTTTTTTTTTTTTTTTAAGATTTTATTTATTTGACAGAGAGAAACACAGCAAGAGAGGGAACACAAGCAGGGGAAGTGGGAGAGGGAGAAGCAGGCTTCCAGCTGAGCAGGGGAGTCCAATGCGGGGCTTGATCCCAGGACCCTGGGATCATGACCTGAGCTGAAGGCAGACGCTTAACAACTGAGCCACCCAGGCACCCCTCACTTGGGTTTTCTAATGAGTCACATATGACTGCAATATGGTGGTCCAATGATAAGGGAGAAGCTAACTACTTAGTCTGCACAAGTTTTATGGGCCCAGGCAAAGATCAAATGTATGCATTAGATTCATTTGTGCTATATTCTGACCAAGTTTTTTCAATAACCAGTTGTAATGTGAAAAAAGATTTTTATGGAAGGACAACTATTGATATAACAATACTTGATTTTTCATAAACGATTTTTCCAGTCCTTTTCTCCCAGTGGGTCCATCCCATTTGTCTAAGGCTATTGCAATACAAATCATTTGAAATTGTAGAGTTATTCTAGAGCAAGAGCTGATGAGCGTTACCTCTAACAGAAGGGGCTCGGATAATGGCCCTGTTGCCAAGATGTCCTTTGGTGGCTGGGAAATGAAGGCTGGGGATTGCTGTATAGGCTTGAGGAGCATAGAAGACAGGAGCTCCAAGGTAGGTTGTGGTGGGATCATAAACATGGCCCAAAGAGTAGGTGTACTCTCCTTGCAGCATGGTGCCCCTTCCACCCGTGCCTCGGGTGTACCTAACATAACTGTCTTTGTCCACTGGTTTGGCTAGGGTCACTTCAATGGGGGAACCATCCAGCACCTGTCACAGAGAGCAAAGAAGAAGCAACATAAGAAGATATGAAGACAACCAAGTGTGGTTGAGCCCTGGGCTCTTGAGTGTTAGTCGATTTGCTGTTTTGCTCACAGACTGTCTCACTTACATGTATCTTGTCTCTTCATGAGTTCATGTTTGTGTGTCAGTTGAGTTTTCCTGAGTGGTTTTGTTGGAAAATTGCATATAATATGCAACAGGTTTGACAGGAACAAACTGGCCACTGGCCACTGACATACTGGTTATAAATTATGTGATACAGTCACTGTGACAGAGAATTATGTGATAGTTTTATGCGATATATGTTTTAAGTTACATATTATATAATTCTAAGACCTTTTAGATTACTAATGGGTGGAATATAATGTCTACATCTTAGCGCAGCAAAGTGAAGGTGGAAGGACACCAATAAGGAAATCTTATCGATTGTTAACACTGTGGCATGGGTAGCCTCGTCAGGTCTTTCTGGCCCCCAGCCAGCTAAATGGTTTACTCCTTCGAGCAGCCACACTATGGGTAAGTTTTCATTGAAGGAGAAGAGAGGCTTAGAAGTGGGGCCCTATTTAAGGAAGAGAATCAAGGAGGCTACTGTGTTGTAGAGGCTACTGTGTTGTTCCCCATAGGTACCTGTGAAGCAGCTTTTTGACCTGCTAAAGAGCTGGGAACTGCCAGGGATAGCAGGGGCAGTACTGAGATTTCTCAAGTCATGCACTTCTTAAAATTTGTCCTCAAGAATTATTGGAGAGGCTTTTTTCTGATGCAAGTTTTGGACAGTTTGCAAACAGATCCAGATGTTGAAGAAAAAGGCTATGTGTAGAGCTACACGCGTGACTCACTTTTCCATATTGCTTGCACACGCACGAGACAAAGATGGCTCTCAACGAACGCTTGATGGATTGAGGTATTTCTTACCGATGGGACAAGGTGTTGTGAGGAAGCGTTTGTAGCTTCTTCTGCATAAGACTATTATAAGCTTCTATTTTTATAAAGAAAAAAAGTAATATGAAGCATTCCCTCAAGAATTCCCTTTCACGGCAGCTCGCCATTTTGTGAGTGCTTCAGGGGTTCTGAGATCACTGAAGTCTGCTGGACAAAGTTGTACTTCCTGGTTGTCACTTGTTCCTAGTTTCATATATCTGCCCTACTTTTTATTTTATTTTATTTTATTTTAAGATTTTATTTATTTATTTGAGAGAGAGAATGAGAGACAGAGAGCTTGAGAGGGAGGAGGGTCAGAGGGAGAAGCAGACTCCCTGCCAAGCAGAGAGCCCGATGCGGGACTCGATCCCGGGACTCCAGGATCATGACCTGAGCTGAAGGCAGTCGCTTAACCAACTGAGCCACCCAGGCGCCCCTATCTGCCCTACTTTTTAAGAGCGGGAGCCTGTATCCAACATGTTAGCTGGAATACACCGAGAGAGAGAATCCTGGTCATATTCAACTATCTCACACTGGTGTTGATGTAATTAGAAGAAACAGACCTGAGTATCCAAAGGGATGGGGTGGTCTTACATATAAGATTCTTTATCTTCAGGCCTGTCTTGAGGAAAGTGAGAGACCCAAATAGGTCTCTGCTTCTAGGCCCTTCCATATCAGGAGACATTTTTAATGGAATGATTCTTTACTGCAAAGTCAGATTTCACATTGTAATAGATTTTGTGCTGCATTCAACTGCCCCTGTAATAGTGGTTTAAACTCAGTATTGTATTTTAGTTATTTGGTCTAGATGTTTCAAGAGCTAGGATGATATCTTATTAATCGGTATATTCCCAAGCCCAGCAAAATTCCTTGCACATCACAGATATTCACAAGTATTTCTAGAATAGATGAACAATCAAATGTAAAGCTCAGGTCATCACCTTTCCCTCTAAATAGGTTTCCTTTCCTGGCTTCTCTGACTGTCTCCAGTCTCCCATATTGAAAACTAATGACTCTTGCTCACTCCAACATCCAATCATTTCCTGGGTGTTTTGAATTCATCCCCCATAGCCCTATGTGGAGCTTTATCCTACTTTCTATTCCTGCCCTTTCTCAAGCCCTATTTCTTCCTGTTTGGGTGACTGTAGTAGCTTTTGAAATAGTACCAATGACATGTCTCTTCCTACTCCATAAAATTGCAACTCTTAGTACCTTCATTTCTCTAAATTGTATGTGATCATTACTCCATTACACAAAAAGCTTCAGTCTCACCTTGTCTAATAAGTTAACTATTAATATGCATATGTATACTCAAAGCTTGCATAGTTCTAGGCAAACTTACTTTTGATTTTCCCATACAACATTATAGTTAAATATAATATTTGGTATATATTTTAATATATTGAATATATATTTAACCTTATATCACATTGCTATAAAATTTCTAGCTGTTAAAATTGGGAACAATGTGAATATTTTTCCATTGTGATTATTTCAATGTAATTATTTAGCACTTAATTTATGACTGACTGTCCCTTCTCTGCAATCATCATGTATCCTCAGGAATGTTTTCAGATTGAGAAACTAACCTACAAATTGTTCCCAAGGTAATAACAGTTTTATCATACTAAATGTAATCACAAATGAAGATGAAATCATGTTTTGCTTGATGGACATGTATTTAAGTTTGCATTCAATTTTTGCTTTACAGTTTTCTTTTTGTGTTTTGGAGTCAGTATGTTTTTTCCTCCAAAGCCCAAACGTGTGTGTGGGCCCCGGATTCGCCCCTAAGCCCAGCCACCTGTGACTGAAGGACCTGCTCGGGGAGATGCTCCCTTGGCCCCTGGCTGTGTCCTTTGGCCAAAGATCCCTACTTCTCCCAAGGAGACCTGCTCTACACAGTCCTTTCTCCGTTAGGTTTCCGGTTACTTCTCCGGCCCCCCTCCCCCCCCCCGTCACCTTGACTCTGGTAGCACTGTGAGCCTTGGTTCCTCCACTTGATTCCCCTTCCCTACACTCACGCTTCTGTACTTAGTCCCTTCGCCATCTGTCTGCTGTTAGCACTAACTGTGCAAAGCCTGATGGGAGACACAGCCCTACATGCGTGATGTTCTAACCGAATTGGTCTACTTTCACTGTTCCTCAGTCACTTCCTGCTCTTTCCAAATTCCATGCCTCAGACTGTCTCTCTGTTTCTGTGGTTTTTTCCTTTAAGAATTCTGCCCAATTTTTATGGCTTCTCATGGATACCATCTTCTCGTCTCCATGACGATTTTCTGATTCTGATTCGCTCCTCCTTCCTTTGGACTTTCTCACCTCGCTCGCTCTCTATTTATATAGATAGAGAGATAGATAGATCTCTATCTATCCATAAATTTAATGAAACTGAACTTATTTGGCTACACTATGAAAGATGTTTGTGTACTCGTCTTATTCCTCCATAGACTTCTAGCTTGTTGGCAAGTTTCTTTGTTTTTTTTGTGTCCCAGACATTGTTTAGCAAGGTAAGTGGTCTATAGATGGGTTTTAATGTTTATTGCATTGATAAGTAAATATGATCTTGGTCTCTATGTACAAGTCAGGAGAAAGGATTTTAGAAGCTCATTTTTCTCCAGACCCCACTCTTGGCAAGGGGAAGAGATCCAGAGCCTTCCAGAGTAGGGAGAGCAAACTCTGAGGGCAGAATGACAACAGAATTGACCGGTTTTCTGGTCCTCAGTCTCCAACATACTGCATTAGCGAGGTGATAATCTCTTGAAGTAATGAGAGAAAACAGGGCCTGAGAAAAACACCTTGAAATAATGTACTCCAATCCCCCACTTTGTAAGGAAATTGAGGGTCAGTGACTTGTTCAAATCACCCAAAATTAGAGAGAGAGCCAGATACGTGAGCGCATCTCCACTGTGTTTCTTTCACTTCTCTTCTGTTCATCTTCATGGACCCAGGCAGTCTTGTCAGAGGTGGAGAAAGCCTGAGTGACACAGACTCGTGGGATCATTCTTCTGAATAAAATTTCCACACCACACTTCGGTGAAACCTGTGTGTGTGTGTGTGTGTGTATTGTCCTACCTTACCTTCCCATTTAAAGCTTTCATAGCCTCCACTGCATCTTCTCGATTACTGAAGTGCACAAAAGCATAGTCTCGAATCTTCTTTACCCTCTCCACAGCACCTGGAAACGGAAAGTAGCCCCATTAGCAAACCTGAGAGAGCCCTGAGAATGATTTTATTTATTTGGTTTTTTTTTTTTTTTGGAGACTCATTACTCAGATAAAGATCTCATTGAGAATATTCGCTATGTCCAGGTTTAGAATTCTACACGTTCAACAGAAGCTTTTGTTTGTAATTTTTTTTTATATCCCCTGTATTCTGCCCTATTGTCAGTTATGGATTTGTGTTTTCCACTTCCTAGATTATAAGATCTTTAAGGATAGAAGCAGTATCTTATTTTGTCTGGCATACAGTGTAAAAGATAGTAACTTATACTCGGTGAAATATTCATTGAAGTGATTTGAACTTAACTATTGGTCATCCTATAAATCTATACTTAGGCGATTGCCTTTTACAATTTTATGGCTTTTCCCCCAGAAAAATGTTTTATCTCTTGATTTATGGAATACAACTTTAGAGTTAGGAGAGACTTCAGCAATGATGTACTTTAAGTTTTTTAAAAAATTCATTTGACCTTCATGTATGTATTTTTAACTTAAAGATTAGGAATCTAGGGTTCTGACAAGGGAAGTGAGATTCATAAGAGTTGACATAGCTAGGAACTAGAACACAGAATCTCTTAACTGCTTATCTGATATTCTTTTGATTAAAAAAAAAGTAGTTTCTGAAAGAACATCGGAAAACCGAGATAGTTCCTTACCATGCTGTTCATAATATCTACATGTTGGAAATAATGTAGATATCCACTAATTCTACCTTGAGGAATGTCTTTTAAAGAAGCACTCCTATATGCAAAAGGATCATGCATAAAGACATTAACTCTACCACTGTTGAAATAGCAAAAATGAAATCACTTAAAGTCCATTTTCATGAGATTGATTAGACCTAGTACATTTGTATCAAATAAAATGAGAACAAATAGACCTATGTATACTTACGTGGAAAGATTTAAGACCTATTGTTAAATTTGAAAGGTTGTAAAATAGTAAGTATAATACTGTAACATTTATGTTTTTAAAATTCCAACCCAAATATATACACACATAAATAGGAATACACACACAGAAAGAGAACTGTTAAAATAGAGGTAACTTTAGGAACGGGGAGAAAAATTGGAGAGAATAAAGGGAAATTTCATATTTTAATTTATATGCTTCGGTATTCTGCAAACATTTGCAATGCTGATTGGTATTATTTGTGTAATAAAAAAATAACAAATCAACCTAACCCATTTTCATATTGAGGAGCTGCTGCATATGTTGGTGGTAACTTATATATATATAAAAAGTTTTACGAAAATGGTTGAACTTTACATTTTATTATTAAAATGTTGCTAGAAAATATTGTTGATGACTCAACCTTAAAAAGAAGTTATTCCTGGAGGGAAGGTGAAATGGACACTTGTGCAACTTGTTAGCAGTTAACAGTTTAACGTGCCAATTGTCCTCCTTCAGTGACACTGACTCGGGTGTATCTCGAGAGACTGGGTTTCTTCTCTTATCCTAATCACCAGACATAACCTATGATGGGACCCTTCCCCAGGGAGGACCAGAAGAGCAGATAGGCGTTCTCCATTGTCCTCTCCCTATCAAGGTTCAGTTATCTATCCTCTTAGATTCAAGGTTACAAAGGCAATCACATGGTTCAAGGGCTCTAAGTTGTCTTTTGGAATAATGGTAGGGCTGTAATGTAGGGATCATTTAAAACCATTGTGGCACCCCTCTCGTCCCTCAGCATTCAACCCTTGACTTCTTATGGCAGTGGCTGTCCAGAGCCCAATTGTCTGGCGAGGCTGAGGAAATATATAAAGGTATTTGAGACCACAAAGCAGGGGTCATGGAATTAACTGACCTTCCAGCACGGTCTCTTTAGTCCTTCAGTGTCAGGTAGTGTAACTATCAAAACCCAACCTTATGGCTTGTCCTGGTCATTGAGAAGTGAAGGGGGGGGGTGGCAATGAGGGTCTCTATCTTTCCAGTCTTGGCTCCATTCATTCTTCAGTGCTGCCCTTCATCGAAGCTCTTCTCGACCCTTAGCCCCCTGAGAACAGGATCTGTTTCAGGGGCGTCCTGGCATTAGCATCACCCAGGTCCTACCTAGTACCGTGTGCACAGATGCCTCTCTACAAATATACATGGAATGAGCAAATATTACCAGTCAATTCACACTCTAGCAAAGGTGGCATTTCGGAAGCTAATGGTTCTAAATGCCCCCAAATTCTGCTCGCAAATAATGAAACCGGCTTGCATTTTTAAGCAACACTCTTCAGCTGCACCTGACTTTGGAAATCTTAATGTATGAAGATTTAGCCTCGTGAAACAAGTTAGAAAGTGAGAGTTTGGTTTTCTCCACAATCATATTCACCACATGGCTTATGATAATATGCCCCTTCTTGAGTCTGTAAGAGTTTGTTTACCCATGGTTGTTTGGCAGAGGGTAGAAGCGATAAAGTATCAGTGGTCGTCATCAGCAGTGTTGCAAAAGACTCCGAAGTCATAATACAGGGAATTGGAAAAATACTACTGTGTTCGTGGTCAACTTGTCAGCAGTGCATCAATTAGCAGAAGGGAAACACACCTGTTATCTGAAGGGAAGATGATCAGAGGGCCACAGTTCTCCAAGTGTGGTCCTCAGACCAGCTGCATCAGCTTCCTCCCGGAACTTAGGAGAAATGCCGGTGCCTGGACCCACCCCAGACCCGCTGATTCAGAAATGCCCTGGGGGAGGGGCCCGCAATCTGTTTTATGCCCTCTAGGTGATTCGGATGTGAAACTGTTTTAGGGAAATCAGATTTTGTAGAATGACTATAATTGGAATTTCAGCAGAGAGCCTTAGGCTACACTGGGGATGAACCTGTTTTCAGCCCCAGTTTCTGTTCTGATTGTCACTTATTTCTCTGAATGGCAGTAGAGTATTTTCAGGTTAATCAGGGTTAAAATAATAGGGTCAAATATTTGCCGGGAATATTCGGGCTCCTCTGAGGGATCCAAACTTTCAATAGGGTTTTTAAAGCGGTATTTTCCTGTTTCTCTCTGAAAATTTTCCTAGATAAGTATAAACACACCCTTTCCACTGGAAAATAAACTGGTTAGCTCTGATTTTTTTCTTCCTAATACAGCAGGTATCTGCTAGTTCTCCACCCTCTATAGTTCATATTCTTTGGTGGAGTGCTGAGAAGGTGCCACACATCAGTATAGAGCTCTGAGCTGTGCCACCAGAGGGAGAGAGGAGAGAAGGAGAGAGGGAGAGAGCCCGCATTTATTATTTTCATTATAACCAGGAGGACCCAAGCACATGTCTCCCTTTAACGCGATAAGCTGATGACCAGTGACCAGGAAAGGAAGCAGTCTTGGAGGTCTCATTCCAGACTTTTCCAAAAAGCAAAAACAAAGCAAAACAAAACAGGAATGTTTTAATTAGATAAAAGGAAGAAATATATTGTGCAACTGTCATCATCGTGCATTTCTAGAACCTCTTCGTGAACCCAAACTGAAACCCTGTATCTATTAAATAATCATTTCTGAGTTCTTTCTCCCCTGTCCCTGGGCAGCTACCATTCTGCAGCCCGTCTCTAGGACCATGCCTACTTCAGGAACCTCAGCTAACTGGCGCCATACAGTGTGTGTCCAAGGTGCATCCATGTCGTATGTTTCAAAAATTCCCTGCAGTTTAGGTGTGAG